ATTGTAAACTTTTGTTATAATGCCATGATTATGCCTCAGCAGGTCTGGAGGGGAACTTAGTTATTAATTTAACGGTTTTATTAACATCATTGCTTGGGACTGACTGATTTGTGCATCTAAAAGTGGTAATGTTAGACCGTTATTAGTCTATGAGAGAAGAAAGAAACATAGTTAGAAGGTCTAACTGTTTGGGCAGTTAGGGGGAGCGGGGAAAAGCTTTTGAACTTGTATAAATAGTTGTGATTAGTTGGGGGAGGGATCTTTTTTGGCCTTATTGAATTGTTGATCAGGACTCATTGTCCTGAGGGGGAGAGGTTAAGCTCTCTGTATTCTTTCTGTTGATTGAAAGTGAATAAAAGAAGCATTTCTTTGTCGGAGTGTGTGTTTGAAGAGTAAGGAGTGAGTTTTTCCTAGGTTCTTGGATAAAGAACCTAACAGGTAAGTTTTTATTGATGAAGAAAACATTTGTAGTTCAAAACTATAAAATGCAATGATTTTTTTCTTTTTCAATAAAAACTTACCACCACTTAATATTCAACCCTAAGGGGATGCTAACATTCTCCTGAAATGAATGAAGAGTCTTGATATAATGAGTGATATGAAGTTAGATGAAGAGGCTCCAAAATGTGTTCCTATCAAAACAATGATTCTATAAAGTTAATTATGCTGGTGAATGTGTTACTAGAACCTGTGAAGTAGGTTATACTTGGCTTCTTTTTAGATTACTTTAGCTTCTAATCATCCTTCCTATTAAACTATAGGAAAGATTGAGATTGAAGTGAAACTGTGTGTTTCTAATACAACCTAGATATTTTATTTATATTGAGAAAAAAGAATCATTACAATAAATAAAAGATTTTACATCCTCTAATAATAAAGATATGATATCTGAATAAATAAAAAGGTTTCCAATAATATGTATATATATAATCTATATATGTTTGATTATATAGGATTTGTGCCTTATTTCTATAATGATAACATTCCCCTCCAAGTTGGAGCATATAATCATATATGCTTAGCTTTTTGCAAATATACTTGGCCTCTAAGAAACTTGGTAAATATGTTGACTAATTGTTCACTAGAATTGACAAACCTAATGGTGATGTCTTAAGACTCTAATTCTTCTCTTATGAGACGACAATTTGTCTCAATATGTTTGTTCTATTGTGAAAGATAGTATTAGAGGCAATGTGTCTTGCTACCAAGTCTACACATATAAGGTGCATTTCAGAACTTTATTCTAATATAAGCTCACAAGGGACTAATGTCATTGACATGTAATGTGCTTCTGCAGATTTATCAAAAAAATTTTGTTTCTCACTTTTCCACATGTTAAATCATTTCAATAAGAACACAATACCCTGAATTGTCACTTGGTGACCCTGCCTAATTGGTGTCAGGATACCCAACAATTTGAGTATTTCATATATCTTCAAAATGAGGGCTTGCCACGAGGCTTCTTAATATACTTTAGGATCCGTATGATCACATCTTGATAGGACCTTTACAGTTTATGTTAGGAAAAAAGAGATAAAAAACAGGACATAGGGTGAGGGAGGTTGTTAGTTGGTTAGACGGTTGGTTGTTAGGTGAGAAGGGTTGGTTATATAGGGGGGAGGTGTGTCTTAGGGGGACAGTTTTGGGTTTATTGTTGTAGTGACAGGATTATTACATCCTGGGTGAAGAGATGATTGCTCCCTTGGTTGCTTACGAACATAAGTCTTTGTTACCAGAATAATAAAACAGTTTGGTTCTTTGGTTTGTACTACGTGTTGTGGGTTTGTTGAAGTGTGTATCTGTGTGGGTTCAGGGTTGTTGCTGCCAAGAATCCTATCACATCTCAATTGTCTTGACAAGGAGAGTTTAAAATTTGACTTACTAAGATCATTGTAAAAGCAATACCTGGAGAAGTCACAGTAGGTAATTTAGCATACCAACTGACCATTTGTACTGAGGATCAGAATATGGCTCTCCTTAGTTGGGTACAGGTTTGATACCTAAATCCTTTGTTGTGTCCACAGGCGTAACATTTCTAGATTGTCGAAAGTAAATTTTCTGACATATGACCAAACCATGCGCATAGTGATTGCTTGAAACCACATAAGGACTTGTGTAGACACATACATATTAGATGACTTTTCCTAAGCAACAAATCCAAGAGTATGCCCCATGTAGACTTCAAAATCACCATGTGACATTTTTTATGTCAAGTTGTAACAGAGTCCAAAGTGAATAACTGCAATGGAAAAGAGAAGTCTAATAGAACCTCCTCCTCTTTTTCCATATTCTGGAACCTTGTTTGCATAATGCCATTTATGATTTGATGGCCTAGATCTCTGAAAAGCAGGTAGTTTGTCTTTGTGCACAAAAGGATCGATAATATGCTAAATTTAATATTGACAAACGTGCATTATTCTTAATGCTTTTGATCAATAGATATCCATGCAATGTATGGTTGCTCGACATTGAGAACTATGCCTAAGGTTTATTGGCACTTGAAGATAATGAAGCTTCATCACTCTGCACTAGGACTGAAACTTTACATCATTTGTGGGGAAGGATCTCTGATCAATGAAATGATTTACCTTCATGTTCAGGCTTCATATATCTTATAATTGGGTCATCTAGTCATATGATGTTATTAACTGAAAACACGTTTGTATCTAGATTTCAAGCCCAAAACATGTTCATCTGTCGTGGCTTTATTTATGATGTGTACCAACCACTGACGATATGGTGATCATTTTATACACCTTTTTTGGAATGATGTTCTTAAAGAAAATAAATTTTGAGCATAATAGATATTTATTGTATTTGGTTCACACCCTGGCAATTGCGACAGTATTTTAACTATTGAAGTGGTAGTCTAAGCATTACTTACAGGATTGCTGTTTCTATTACAAAAAAATCTGTATTATTAACACACTTCAAATGTAATTGGGTTGAATTTAAAGGTTGAAACTTTTATATGCAGATGAAACAAAAACGTTCTAGTGCCAATAAATCATCCACCAATAAGCAGAGTACTGCAGGATGTAATGATGACAGTATCCGAGCTGCAATTTTAGACGATGCCACTATTGTATGTATTCCCACACTTTATGTTGAATGCATAAGCAAAAGCAATCTGATTTTCATAGTATTTTCTGTCTTCTTGGCAGGTCTTCTCAACTCTCAGCTTTAGTGGTTCCCATGTTTTCAGTAAACTAAATCGTGGATTTGATGTTGTGATTATAGATGAAGCAGCACAGGCTGTAAGTGTCAAATCCTCTTAGTTGCTGAGTCACTTTTAATATTGCTTATAATATAAACTAACTTGACAAAGTTTGATCTTAAGTTGCTGGGGTACCTCAAAATATTCCAGCAACTAATTTTTATTTATTTTTAATTGTAGTATGAAGATGGAATAACCTTCATGAACCAATAATCCCTGAAACTTAAGCTATCATGTGAAGACATAAAAATGATTTTATGTTTTAAATCTTAGTATCTCTTACTTACCCACACCGGAGTCCTTTTGGCTTGAGCTGTGAATAACGCAAAGACCCAGCTGTTTTGTGCTAGAGTATAACTTTTCATTAGAAAATAATAGGGGAGGAAAGGATTGAACTCTAGACCTTATGGTCATAGAGACTGATAATATCCCATGAACCAACTATCAGGAAAGCTTAAGCTGAGGTAAAAAATAGAAATAATTTTAGATTATATAGATAGAAATACCTTTAGATTATAATGAGTTTTCAAATATTTTTTGGCTGGAGTACAAATTTTTTTTTCCTCTTGGAGTAAATAAGCTACTGAGGACTAAGTCTAAAGTATATCTGAAATCCCTAAAAGTCTTTGTCACTTGAGCGGGCCTCTTTTTCTTTAGCGAAGCTTTTCAGTGGGACAGTGTTCTGAAGAATTTTCCTTGTTCTTGGGGTTCTACTTGTATCATAACTCATCCTCCAGCAAGCTAAAACATGCTCATTTTGGTGTAACACTTGGCTTATTTATTTTTATAAAAGAGCAAAACTAAAATGTATTTCGAGTACAAGGGATCCACCGAATCACAAAAGTAAATTTCAAAAAAATGGTAGTTTGACGAAGTTATCTAATAATTATAAAAGGGGTGGAGATTAAAGGTAGAATTAATACAATTACAAACCACAGTAGTTAAGCTAGTGGAAGATTACGATGGGACTAGGATAGTTGAAGACCTCTAAGGCAGGGGATTAATCACTATATAGGGATGACACTGAGTGTCAAAGGAGAGAGCTGCTGTGGTTGGGAATAGGTTGTTGATATTTGAGAATTCAAAAGTTGAGGATAAAAGATAGGATTCCTAGATAAGGCAGTGGTAGCATTTTGAATTTGGTTTCTGTTGGGTAGTGAAGAAAGGGATTTCCTTGAAAAATGCAACATTAAAGGAACTGAAGAATCAATTTGTAGGCGAGCAATAGGAACTTGGGTGTTATGGGCGCCTAAGTCCCACATCAAGCTGCAATATGGGATGCATGGGGAAGTATTCAAGTGTTTGCTTTTGCCCATTTGATGGCTGACTTTTGAGAGTTGAGTTACTCAAATTCTTAGGTACTTGTCAATTGGCATCAGACCTAGTTCTTGGTGTCTCAAAAAGGGTTACCTACACAAAATTCTGACTACTAGGAGCCCTGACCGATACAGGAGTTGAATGAAGTGTCACTGAGTTAAGTGTCATACAGATAAAGTCATCAAGATGTCAACTCTCAGGAATGGCGCTTTATAGGAACTTGGGTAGTATATGGTGCCTATGTCTCACATTGAGCAGTACGACTTGGTGGAGTATTTAACTGTTTGGTTCTTTTGAAAGTAGGTTTCCCAAGTACTTGGATACTTGTCATGGAGTAAATGTGGTCTCCCAAGTCAAGAACACCCAAGAAGAGAATTCGATGAGCAAGATAAATTTATCTTGGAGAAATATCATACATGAAACAAGTAGAACCAAATGCACAAGGAGGAACTTCGTAACAAGATTCTTTAGGAACCGTATTTATTTACTAAACTAGACTAATAACTTTAATCTTTTTTCCTAAGTTGCAATGAAATGGGCAATCTTGGAAAGTTGAAAAGGTTTATTATTATGTAGTTTCAGGCTGTATAACTTATTTTTGTAATGAGCAGATCTAAAACGTTGTTGCTTATTTTATTTCAACTCTTTATGACAGGTGGAGCCTGCAACTCTTGTTCCTTTAGCCAATCAATGCAAAAAAGTTTTTCTGGTACTTTACATCGCTTATCCTTGCATTACAGGAACGTACATGATTTTACTTTTTACTTATCGTAATATATGTGTGAACAATATTCTATATCATGTATAAAATATAAATTGAGGAAAAAAATGCATTTTGACAGCATGTGCGAAGAAAGAAAATCCATTATTCATATTAACTCTTAATCAAAACAATGTGAAATGGTATACAGCAATGGGATTGATAATTCTTGTCTATTAATTATTAATGGTTAGACAAAGGCCTGGACAGTGGAAATATTTTATACAATTGTTGAACCCTTTTAAAAGCTTGTTGGGTTACAGACTTTTTAAGTAATTTTGACTAGTGTTGTCCTTATTGAGGCTACATTTTGTTGCAACATTTTTAAAGGTTGGTGATCCAGCTCAACTTCCAGCAACTGTAATTTCGGACATTGCTAAGAATCACGGGTAAACAATTAGTTTTGTGGTGATTATGATTTTAATACATTAAACCATTTTTTTCTAACACATGAGTTTTTGGCTTTATTGTTTCATGAATTAAGATATGGCACAAGCTTATTTGAAAGATTGATGGAGGCTGGTTATCCGGTTAAAATGTTGAAGACCCAATATCGAATGCATCCTGAGGTTGGTGCATACTGTTAACATGTTCTGTATTAGCTAAGAATATGACTAAAATACTGCTCGTAAGGTGTGGGCAATCTTTCCCCCTTTGAATTAGATTTTGGAGTTTACTTAGGCCATAATTCATTTCTAATACATGTTAAGCAGAATCTTGAAAAATTAATTTCTCTAACGTGGTCTTCGTGTGGCCAAATGAGTTCAATTGGTTCAGACCTAAGAATTGCCTCATATGCTGGGGAAATACCGGGGCCATGTTGGCTCTGTTGCTTAAGTGGTATTATAGTGGTGGGTTTTTTTATCAAAATTTAAGTGCAGTAGAATTATGGTTTTGAAGGAATGACATTTAATGATGCGTAATCAAAAAACTGAGCGAGGCAATATTTTAGATTGAAGAATATAAATGAGAAACAGTACAGGTTATTTTAAATTGAAGACTTACAATGGAATATCTTGAGAATATTCCAGGCTACACTTCTACTGTTCCTAAACTATTTTTCGTAGCATTTGATCTTGATATATTCCACGTTACTAATAGGCCCACAACGAAGGTATATATGGAAAATGAGGGGCTCGGGGGAATAGAAGAAGGGACAAATATGCCTCATAAATTAGGCCTGCTTGTGTATGAGTGTAAAAGGAATCAAGTGGCACCAGCTGAAAGAGAAAAGTAGGGCAGCTGGCAGAAAGTGGAGATGCAAGAATTGTGCTGGAGGGAGAAGCACATTTTTAATAGACGATTATCCTTTATTTTTTGCCTCATTTCAATATAAATACAGTTGAATATAGTGAAAACTCCCTTGTGTTCAATATACACATAGGGTCATCTATTTATAATAGAATAAATATGGGCTAAACTCAAAATACAAATAAGAAATAATAACAAACTAACTAATAAAGATAAAAGATAAAGATAANTAATGCACAGACCCAGCTGTATTGTGCTAGAGTATAACTTTTCATTAGAAAATAATAGGGGAGGAAAGGATTGAACTCTAGACCTTATGGTCATAGAGACTGATAATATCCCATGAACCAACTATCAGGAAAGCTTAAGCTGAGGTAAAAAATAGAAATAACTTTAGATTATAAAGTTAGAAATACTTTTAGATTATAATGAGTTTTCAAATATTTTGGGGCTGGAATACAATTTTTTTTTCCTCTTGGAGTAAATAAGCTACTGAGGACTAAGTCTAAAGTCTGAAATCCCGAAAAGTCTTTGTCACTTGAGAGGGCCTCTTTTTCTTTAGTGAAGTTTTTCAATGGGACAGTGTTCTGAAGAATTTTCCTTGTTCTTGGGGTTCTACTTGTATCATAACTCAGATCCTCCGGCAAGCTAAAACATGCTCATTTTGGTGTAACACTTGGCTTATTTATTTTTATAAAAGAGTAAAATTAAAATGTATTTCGAGTACAAGGGATCCGCCGTATCACAAAAGTAAATTGCAAAAAAATGGTAGTTTGACGAAGTTATCTAATAATTATAAAAGGGGTGGAGATTAAAGGTAGAATTAATACAATTACAAACCACAGTAGGTAAGCTAGTGGAAGATTAAGATGGGACTAGAATAGTTGAAGACCACTGAGGCAGGGGATTGATTGATCACTGTATAAGGATGACACTGATAAGAAATGAGTGTCAAAGGAGAGAGCTTCTGTGGTTGGGAATAGGTTGTTGATATTTGAGAATTCAAAAGTTGAGGATAAAAGATAGGATTTCTTAGATAAGGCAGTGGTAGCATTTTGAATTTGGTTTCTGTTGGGTAGTGAAGAAAGGGATTTCCTTGAAAAATGCAACATTAAAGGAACTGAAGAATCAATTTGTAGGCGAGCAATAGGAACTTGGGTGTTATGGGCGCCTAAGTCCCACATCAAGCTGCAATATGGGATGCATGGGGAAGTATTCAAGTGTTTGCTTTTGCCCATTTGATGGCTGACTTTTGAGAGTTGAGTTACTCAAATTCTTAGGTACTTGTCAATTGGCATCAGACCTAGTTCTTGGTGTCTCAAAAAGGGTTACCTACACAAAATTCTGACTACTAGGAGCCCTGACCGATACAGGAGTTGAATGAAGTGTCACTGAGTTAAGTGTCATACAGATAAAGTCATCAAGATGTCAACTCTCAGGAATGGCGCTTTATAGGAACTTGGGTAGTATATGGTGCCTATGTCTCACATTGAGCAGTACGACTTGGTGGAGTATTTAACTGTTTGGTTCTTTTGAAAGTAGGTTTCCCAAGTACTTGGATACTTGTCATGGAGTAAATGTGGTCTCCCAAGTCAAGAACACCCAAGAAGAGAATTCGATGAGCAAGATAAATTTATCTTGGAGAAATATCATACATGAAACAAGTAGAACCAAATGCACAAGGAGGAACTTCGTAACAAGATTCTTTAGGAACCGTATTTATTTACTAAACTAGACTAATAACTTTAATCTTTTTTCCTAAGTTGCAATGAAATGGGCAATCTTGGAAAGTTGAAAAGGTTTATTATTATGTAGTTTCAGGCTGTATAACTTATTTTTGTAATGAGCAGATCTAAAACGTTGTTGCTTATTTTATTTCAACTCTTTATGACAGGTGGAGCCTGCAACTCTTGTTCCGTTAGCCAATCAATGCAAAAAAGTTTTTCTGGTACTTTACATCGCTTATCCTTGCATTACAGGAACGTACATGATTTTACTTTTTACTTATCGTAATATATGTGTGAACAATATTCTATATCATGTATAAAATATAAATTGAGGAAAAAAATGCATTTTGACAGCATGTGCGAAGAAAGAAAATCCATTATTCATATTAACTCTTAATCAAAACAATGTGAAATGGTATACAGCAATGGGATTGATAATTCTTGTCTATTAATTATTAATGGTTAGACAAAGGCCTGGACAGTGGAAATATTTTATACAATTGTTGAACCCTTTTAAAAGCTTGTTGGGTTACAGACTTTTTAAGTAATTTTGACTAGTGTTGTCCTTATTGAGGCTACATTTTGTTGCAACATTTTTAAAGGTTGGTGATCCAGCTCAACTTCCAGCAACTGTAATTTCGGACATTGCTAAGAATCACGGGTAAACAATTAGTTTTGTGGTGATTATGATTTTAATACATTAAACCATTTTTTTCTAACACATGAGTTTTTGGCTTTATTGTTTCATGAATTAAGATATGGCACAAGCTTATTTGAAAGATTGATGGAGGCTGGTTATCCGGTTAAAATGTTGAAGACCCAATATCGAATGCATCCTGAGGTTGGTGCATACTGTTAACATGTTCTGTATTAGCTAAGAATATGACTAAAATACTGCTCGTAAGGTGTGGGCAATCTTTCCCCCTTTGAATTAGATTTTGGAGTTTACTTAGGCCATAATTCATTTCTAATACATGTTAAGCAGAATCTTGTAAAATTAATTTCTCTAACGTGGTCTTCGTGTGGCCAAATGAGTTCAATTGGTTCAGACCTAAGAATTGCCTCATTTGCTGGGGAAATACCGGGGCCATGTTGGCTCTGTTGCTTAAGTGGTATTATAGTGGTGGGTTTTTTTATCAAAATTTAAGTGCAGTAGAATTATGGTTTTGAAGGAATGACATTTAATGATGCGTAATCAAGAAACTGAGCGAGGCAATATTTTAGATTGAAGAATATAAATGAGAAACAGTACAGGTTATTTTAAATTGAAGACTTACAATGGAATATCTTGAGAATATTCCAGGCTACACTTCTACTGTTCCTAAACTATTTTTCGTAGCATTTGATCTTGATATATTCCACGTTACTAATAGGCCCACAACGAAGGTATATATGGAAAATGAGGGGCTCGGGGGAATAGAAGAAGGGACAAATATGCCTCATAAATTAGGCCTGCTTGTGTATGAGTGTAAAAGGAATCAAGTGGCACCAGCTGAAAGAGAAAAGTAGGGCAGCTGGCAGAAAGTGGAGATGCAAGAATTGTGCTGGAGGGAGAAGCACATTTTTAATAGACGATTATCCTTTATTTTTTGCCTCATTTCAATATAAATACAGTTGAATATAGTGAAAACTCCCTTGTGTTCAATATACACATAGGGTCATCTATTTATAATAGAATAAATATGGGCTAAACTCAAAATACAAATAAGAAATAATAACAAACTAACTAATAAAGATAAAAGATAAAGATAATATATTTAACACTCTCCCTCAAGCTCGAGCACATATGTACCAATCTTGGAACAAATAAACTCAATCCAAGGACCCCTTAATGACTTGGTCAACACATCTGCAAGTTTCCCTCCTCCTCCAACCTCGAGCACATATGTACCAAGCTTGGAACAAATAAACTCAATCCAAGGACCCCTTAATGACTTGGTCAACACATCTGCAAGTTTCCCTCAAGCTCGAGCACACAAATTGTATGTACCAAGCTTGGAACAAATAAACTCAATCCAAGACCCCTTAATGACTTGGTCAACACATCTGCAAGTTGATCGTTTGACACAACAAACTCAGTACTTATTTCTTTAGTCAACAACTTTTCACAAACGAAAGGACAATCAATTTCTATATGTTTAGTCCTCTCGTGCAACACTGGATTTGATGCAATTTGGAGAGCAGATTGATTCACCCATATAAGTTCACAATGCATCTTCATAGTATGGATGTCATAGAAGTTAAGCTCTTAAAGGAATTATTTCACCCATATAAGTTCACATGTGAGTGACGCCATCGCCCTATACTCGGCTTCAGCTATTGATCGTGCCATTACATTCTCTTACTTTTCCATGAAATAATGTTTTCTCCCAGAAAAACACAATATCCTATAGTAGACTGTCTATCAATAGGCGAACCTTCCCAATCTGCATCACAATACCCAAAGACTTGAATGCTTCCTTTATCTTCATATAACAATCCTTGCCCAAGAGCCTTTTTGATATACCTTAGAATGCGAATGAGAGCATTCCAATTGTCTAAACAAGGAACCTGCATGAATTGACTAACCATTCCAACTGCAAAGGATAGATCTAACCTTGTAATAGTAAGGTAAATCAGTTTTCCAACCAGCCTCCTACACCTCTCTGGATCGAAGAATAATTCACCTTTCGTCCTTAATTTCTGGTTTGGGTCCATGGGGCTGTCTACCAGTTTGCAATCAATCATGTCTTTTTCTTGTAATATATCAAGAGCATACTTCCTTTGGGAAATTACAATTCCATCTTTTGATTGTGTTACTTCAATGCCTAAGAAGTATTTGAGACTTCCAAGATCCTTGGTTTGAAAATGTCTACACAAGTACTCATTCAGTTGAGATATTCCAACATCATTTCCTATAATGACAATATCATCAACATATACTATTAAGTAAACACATTTCCCAAGAGAAGAATGACAGTAAAAAACCGAATAGTCTATTTCACTATGTTTTAGCCCAAATTTTTGAACAATGGAGGTAAACTTTCCAAAACCAAGCACTAGGTGATTGTTTGAGTCCATATAGAGATCGATGCAATTTGCATACCATACTAGACTCCCCTGATCAACAAATCCAGGAGGTTGCTTCATATAAACCTTTTCCTCAAGATCACCATGTAGGACAACATTCTTGATATCTAATTGATGAAGTGGCCAATGACGAATGATTGCCATGGCAAAGAAGAGGCAAATAGTAGTCATCTTGACAACAGGAGAAAAAGTGTCACAATAATCAAGACCATAAACCTGAGTGTAACCCTTTGCAATAAGTCGGGCTTGAGCCGATCAATTTTACCATTAGGGCCGACTTTAACTGGATACACCCATCGGCAACCAACCACCTTTTTGTCCTGGGTAAGTGGCACCAGCTCCCAAGTATTATTGTGGTCAAGAGCTGCATTTCTACAATCATAGCTTGTCGCCATCCAGGATGATCAAGTGCTTCTTTCACATTCTTGGGTATAACAACAGATGACACTGAGGATAAAAGAGAAAAATAGGAGGGCGACAATCAATGATAGCTAAGAAAATTATAAATAGGATGAGGGTTTCGAGTAGAACGAGTATCTTTTCTGAGGGCAATAGGCCATGCTTAATCATTTTCACCAAGAGGTGTGGGAGAAGGTGACCAGGGAGAAGAATCTGAAGTAGGAGATTCACCATTGTCTTGGGGAGGTGGACTATTCATTGGGGCCCTGTGTGGGATGATCTCAGTATTGGAGAAACGGGTGTAGGAGGATTGGGATCAAGACTTGGAATGACAGAGACGGGTGAGCTATTTGACTCGGCCATTGGAATAGGAAGGACCTGCTGGAGGATAGAAACATCCTGAACAGATGGAGAGAAGTAAGGAGTCTGTTCAAAGAATGTATGAGAAATAGAGAAGATTGGGAGAAAATATCTCTTGTGTGTTTAGCATACACATAGGGTAGTTTATTTATATTGTAAGATATGGGCCAATGCCCTTAATACAGAAATAGACTAAGCTCAAATAACAGAAAACAACAACATTCTTAAAACATTCTAAACCACTGCCCCTCAAGCGTCGGAACATATAAATCCATGTGTGTCCCAGCTGTTACAAAAGAAATCAATTCTAGGTCCTGGTAAAGGACGTTAGTGAATATGTTGCCAATGGTTTGTTGAAAATTAACAAAACTCAGTCTTGATATCTCCGGATATGATTTTTCTCGAATGAAATGGACAATCAACTTCAATGTGTTTGGTTCTCTCATGGAAGACAGGATATAGAGCTAATATGGAGAGCAGCTTGATTATCACATATAAGTATCATGTGAGTGACATCTCCAAATTTCAATTCATCAACAATTGTTTTTTTTAAGCACAACAAGCTCGCAAGTTACCTGATGCCCATAGCTCTATATTCTGCTTCTGCAACTGGACACTTGCCACAAACACTTTGCTTTCTTACTTTTTCCAAGATATAAGGTTGTCCAATAGAGACACAAATCCAGAAAAGTAGAACCTCACGTATCAGGACAGGGGAAAACCAGCCCAATCAGCATACTGGAATAACAAGACAGATTTTGTATCGCGTTGTTTGTTAGGCCTTTATAGGCAAAACCTTTCCAGGTGGGATCTTTTAATATCCTTACCGTATGCGAACCAACTGAACATCTCAAATGGTCGTCAACATGGGGAGTTTATAGAATTGCACTCACCACACTAATGCCGAAAGGACATGTTACAGGACGCGTAACAGTACAGATAGTTTAATTTACAAAACTAGTTCTTCTGTACCGATAATCAGGATCTGAGAAAGGCTCCCCCTGGATTTAGTAGGCG